ATTTTACAATCAAAAGATAAAAATACTATTATAGCCCTCTATGTGTACTTGAGTAACAGTAAATGAACAAACAAAAGAATACACTCAGTCACACTTTTTTAATTTTTTATTTACTCAACTTTCGCCTACTTACTTTTTTAGTTATTCATTATTAACTTTATTACATTTTAAACACCAAATTAGAAATGTAAAATTTTCTACACGGTTGTAATAAAGCTGTTACCTATCTATAAACAAACACACTGTTGCCCAAATGTAAACATCGCGATGTGCTAACAACAAAACAATCATAATATTATTACGTTACGCTCAATGTAACCGTCACTGTACCGGTAGTAATTTGATGCCATGTGCACTTCCACCGAAAGTCATCATTGCCATAATGTAATGTATTCGTTATTCTCGTTGACAATAGGGGCAACTACCGAAATACAGCACCTTACATAAGTGGCGTTGCCTGCTCAGCTTGTCCACCTCCAAGTTGGTGCCATGAAGGACTCTGCAGTAAGTACATTTCCTTGTGACATGATAAATAGACCACGTCGAACTTCACGTTTTAGAACCCGCAAACGTCATTTCAAATTTATCAATATAGAATTGTAAAACTTTTCTGGTGAAACTAGCTCAAAACGTGGCGAAGGAAAACCTAATTTTCACATTTGTTCTACCACCCATCTCGGGGTTCCTAGACGTCAACCCATAATAATCGGATTATACTGCCTAATGAATACTAATTATAGTAATACATCTCATTTGCAGTGCCGGATTGTCAGCATCACGATGAACCCTTTAGTACCTGCGGTGAGTAAAATAAACGTTCCCACATTGTTTTATGAGGCATGATGGATGTAACTGAAAATACATTTCCAAGATGAGTTGAATACTAAGATTGTTGTTTTTTCCACACAGATTGCCACATCAAGTGTGAAAATTGTGGTATACGGACAGACTTATGTACATGCACATGCGCAGATGGCTGGACTGGAATCACTTGCTCAGGTGAACTTAACGGCTTAATTCACTTGCCTCAGGTGTGGCTATACTAATGAGCCCTGTTAATCACTTGACTGGCCTATGTTTACAGAAATTCGTAAGCATCAACGGGCTAGTCAGACTTGCTTGCATAGAGCACAGACCTGAGCTGCATAGGCATTCCGTAATGACAAGCTAATATGGAACGTGTGTACAAAATGGTATGGCATTGACCATTTCTTTCAAGTTGAATTGCGTTTATTTCAACAATGGCATTCGTCTGAAATGCAGAATTAACGTATCATATCCATTTGCCACCCTCTAGACTGGCACAGTCTGGGCGATTTATTTCTTTTTAAATTTAAAATTAAATAAAAAAAATAGCGAAATGGAGGTATTATTATTATTATTATTATTATTATTGTTACTGTAATTTTGTAAAGATTAGATTTATTAGTCACGTTAAAAAAAATATTTTAAAGAAAAAACATTGTCACGATTTAGCTATGGGCCGGCGCATGGACAGACATTTCCGGCACAAATTTGCCATTTTCTTAAACTGTAAAAAAGCCACGAATAAAACCAGTAAATTAATTCGTGCTGAGTCACATGTAACATTATTAGTCCGTCATCGGCAACTATGAAGATCGCCTGGTCAGTCTCATTCCTGTTCCCTTTACCGTCATATGCAACACTGTATCCGGAATACGCTCTTTATCGCAAAGTAACAGAAAACAACACTAAACACAGTATTCATTTCATTAAAACACGACATTTCTGGCTCATACTCTCTGTAGCGGCTTTTTAAATTTGCGAACATAATTTTCATTGTCTTCATTGAATCCGCTGTATGATAATCAGAAAAGCATTATGAACTGTGTAAATGTTTTTTGGAGATAAGATGACGTAACCTGTTTCAGCGGCCCAGCGTCACGTGACATTCATTATTTCCCATTCCTTTCCGTCTCACACTGACCATACTGTACTTATAATTCGCTTTATTGTCAATGTCGATAATGAATTATGTAATGATATGCCCTGAGTAAGTAATATGAGACTCCTTTTTACGGAATTTGCTAAACACATACTTCCTGTTATAATATAACGAATATTTGAGAAAATGTGACGTTATAGTAACATTAATTACATACGACAATATATTTGCATTAATCTCCCCCCCCCCCCCATCAGCAGCGTATTTAAAATATTCATAATCGATAGCGCTTTGGACTAACGAGCTCGTTCCATACTTAGTCGGATGCAGAACAATACCTGAATTAAATTGTTCTCTTATGGAAATTTGCCACACCTACTTTGTCATTGTTATATTAGTGTAACTACAGACTCAAAATGTTATGCCATGTGTGGTACATGTGGTTTATATTGGATATTTGAAATGACAATAATTCAGGGCTAGTAGGAGACGCGTGAAAAATGTTATGTCCTTTTATCATAAGCTTAAATTTGTGTTGTCAAACAATGAGAATGATCAGATTGTTTTTAGCCATGACATTGCGTTGGAAGATACCACAGGAAGATACCACAGGCAGATACCATAGGCAGTGGCATTTTTTATCAAGAAAATACAAAGGGTAAAGACCGTTGAACAATTCTTCCTATTGCCATAGAATGTTTTTTAAAAATGAAACATTACCATAGCAAAAAAAAAAATAATTGAAAAATTAGCTTTAAAGAAAGTAATGTGTTGTAAAATAAAATTTAGTTTTGTCAATTAAATTTGTGTTCCGCTAAATTAGAATTAGGTTTATGTTGCAGGAGGTAACATACAATGTGACACCAATGGGCCATCGAGTATAAGAGATCTATTTTGAAGATCATCGGCTGGAATACTGCTGTCTTGATGGAACTCGTTGATAACAACTGCTGAAATTGTTTCGTTCACACAACGTTACATGATACAGTCCGTAATCAAATCTAGAATTTGAATCATTCATATTTTATTTTGCATACTAAAATATACTTTCAGATGAAAGGATGTTTTTGTTTTGTTCATGTTCATCTATTGGTGGCTTAAATAAGTCAAACTGGACCCAATAGCGTTGTAAATTAGCATAATTATTAGACTCCGTGTACTGATTTGCATAGTTATTCGAGGCAGATACCAGAAATTATTGTATTCTGAAATTCCAATTACAGTAATAGATGTATAATACTGATGCATACGCCGTTCAATCCACAGAACCATGCAGTGACACCAGTCGCCATTGTGGGAACGGTTGGTACAGACACTGGTGCAACGAGGACCATTCAAACGTCCTTACAAAATGTCCATTGATGTGTGGACTATGCCGTAAGTATAAAAACAACATTATAACCTTCCAAAACGCGTCCTCTAACAATGAAACATTTCTGTGTCGTAAAAAGGCGGAAAAGGGTGTAAGCAAAGTCGCTCAAATATTTCAATTGTAAATTCGTCTTGTAGACTGTGACAAATCTCTAAACAACTATTGTTTGTTGATGGAACATTCATCAAAACAATATGAACCCAGTGAACCCGTACACCATTTTACGTCACCACCGAACTACGAATTACTTGCGGTAATGGTGTATTACGAAACTCAACATTGAACATTCACATCATTTTTTACAGAAATGGGAAAACAACATATTGGTTCCAGTAGAAAGATGTGGGAGAATGAAAGTTTTTATATTCCATTTTATTCTCTGTGTATTATGTAGTCCACCATCTTGATTTTCTCGTTTACACAATTTATCGAGAAGAGTCGCTTATACTGGTTACAAAGTGTCATTCTATTTTCAACAACCAAAATGACAATATCTATACATCTTGTGTACAACATTCTAATCTTTTTATTATTTGATACACATACGTAATATTCACACTGAAAATTTGAACTAATTCGCATCATAAAGTTGAATATCTAGGAAATGAAGTGTGACATCAAATGCAAATTGCATTCTGCTACGTGTGTGAAGCTCTTTCATGTAAAATCATTATGTTGTTTTCCCTGGACGTCTTTTTGAAACAGTTGTCACATTGAGATTATACTTTTAACGTAAATTGAATATTTTCAACGCTTACCCACTCTCACTGCCCGCTATAAGATACTAGGTTAGTTGCCATTTGTCGCATATTGGTTCAGATTTCTAATGTGGATGGGGATGTTTGTTTTCTCGTGTAGAACAGTTGCCAGAAGGGGAGGAGGAGCAGAGTTGCTGTGGTGGTAAGATTTGTCAGAACGAAGGTAACTTGGATGTCGCCACATGTACGTGTGAATGTACTAAAGATTTTACAGGCGATTTATGCGGTGAGAATACATGTTATAAAAACATGAACAACTATTGTCAAATACTATTATCTTTAAAAATATCACGGTTACGGTTTTGGTAACTGTGATAAGATGATAACCACAAGAAAAACGTTTTCAGTTTATGGTAAATCACAGTCCAATGTATTTATCATTATGCATCGTCAAACTAAAATTTACATTTTCTCGTCCTTGTTGCATCTTCAAAAAGTAGATCTTTTGCGTTTGCGCCGTTTATTTTCAATGTTTATTTATCATAACAGAAAATCCAGTAACAACACCAGTCATGGTTGAAATTACAGAACATGTCGATGTGGAGGTGAAAGGTACGGAGAAAACCCATGTAGATAAGAAAGGTAAGTTGATTATAATGTGAGGTTATTACGAGGATACTGCAAAGTATGCACAAACACAGTACAGCGAAAATATCGACTGACTGGCAGCGGAGGTCGATGCGACAGTGTACTGTCTTTTCCTCCAGGAATACATCATGGGAATGCCGAAATCCAAAAAGTTTTGAACAGATTTAGAGAACTTTTTTTGTGTGGGGTCCGGACAAACCCTGTAGGGGCAGCCATGTTTAGTCAGTAAATAGCTTTAAACAAAACTAGCACGACCTTTATGACAAGCCAAATCGAAAAACTCCTTTGGCAAGTTGGAATAGTTATTCGGACAATTTCCTTATCTCAAATCAAATATCGAAACAGTAACTGATAAACACATGTTCTCCAACCACTACAAACTGGTTCATCTGCATTATTAATCACGCACCTGGGGCGTAGAGGGCAGTGTCAGTAACTTAGCACACTATACTCAATCATGTACTCGCGAATACAGTAAACCAATTAGTTTAGCAACTATTTCAGGCTGATTTCCCTTTCACAATATATTTCACACTATAGCTTGCATGAAACATTTAGTTAAATATTTATAGTATTTTGACTATGAAAAATATAACAAGATAGTTGGATGTTGGGACATCTCCCACAACAATTTACATTGCTGAGATCATCCCGTATGTTAAATAAAGCATTTCTTAAATCTGGCGCTGTCACCGAATCAATTGCCAAAAACAGTGAAACTTGAATGTACTTGTTACAAACATGAAAAGGTTCCATATAGACTGTGATTGAAGTTAACACATGGAGAAACAGAAATATCAATGTTTGGCCAAATTTTTAAGGATCGACCCCCCCCCCATTATTTTCTATTTCGTTATGAAATTGATTTAATTTTCTTCTGTGAAACCTATCAGCATGTTTTCGCATGCCATCTGTTTGTGGACATTCTTGCAAAACTGATAGGAAAGTTTTATCATGATTGACACGCTAACCTCAAGGGCGATTTCTTACTTCAAACTGCCAAATAGTATTCTAGCATTCTAGTTTGTTGCAGATTGGATCACGTTATACCCATTCAATAAGCGTTATTAAACGGCGAGCTACACTAAAACGTATGTATCTACTTTTCGGATCTCAATAAATAACATATGCTTTGTTTCCTTGATTCATATGTGACTTCCATGCTGCCTTAAAGATGAAACTCATGATAAAACTACGAAAGCACAAGAGAAACTTGTATCACCAACATGTAAGTACATCTCATTCTCTTCTAGAATCGTTCAAAGATAGAATATATCATAATGTAAAGTTGTCCTCCCAGAATCCATTGCAGATATAAGCAGTAACTAACACAGTAATCCTGACTCATCTTTTTAATAATAATGTATTTCTTTTGTTTTCATAGCTACACCAAAGGCTGAAAATGTCGCATCCGCTGCATTGGTGTTAAATCTCAATTTCACCAACATACTGGTATCCATCTTATTGGTCATCACATGCTGTAGTGTGTAATGTGCATTTAATAGCGGTGTATCGTTTAGAACATTTCACTGTGATTCAACGTTAATCAGTAGACTGGAACTTATCCAGTGGTGTTGGTGTTTAAGCTATTATTTTGAGAAGTAGAGCATCTATTTTAAGTTTAGAGAACTAACAATTTGTCAATTATTGTAGATTTGATGAATATTATTCACACCATATAGGAATACTGCATGTAATGTCCCATAACTTTCCCCATTTTAAAGAAATGGCACCAGTGTACAATCACATCAAATAACAGATAAGAACACTTTTCTGATGAGCCTAAAATGGCCATTGTAAATTTCACATTGACCAAGGAATAACAAAATTCACTCAAATCCTCGGTCTTAACACAATTCCTTAGATGCACCAAGTCAATATTGTGTCAGATTCATATGTTCGCACTGTTGGGTGATTAGAGTTTCAAGGTGACATGTCAAATATATTTTATGCAAAGTCGTTGTCATACTATTGCTACTACAATCAAAATTCAAATATAAGAATCGTAATTTTACCTCGGTTACCGCCATACGCCACTTAGTGGTAGATGTTACTGTATAACAAGGCACGTTATCATACAATCTAAAATCATATTGCTTTATTCTCAGTTATACAGTACGCAAACACTGTTACGGCGGTTATTAAATGAGTTTTTTAAAGCCAATGTGTTCAGAGATTAGTAACAAATTAAGCTTTCCAATCACGAAAATAAAAATATATTTAAGTCAATGCAATAATGCAATAATATATTGTAAAATTATGGGATGAACAAGTCATTGTCAATGACACGTCCCCGTTCCGTTCATATTTGAGTGACATATACATTCAAAGCAGATCATGACCGAAATGCACCTGCATATGTACAACACATTGTGCTAAATCTGAACAAAATCCATCCATGCATGACTGAGATCCGCTTCTGGAATTGTGAAAATACGTGATTTTGATGCATTTTCGGCCTTAAAATGGCCATCATTCCGCTATTGTTAAGCAGATCATGAAACAAATGCACATATCTATTTGTGACATGATGTACCATGTGTATGTGAAGTTTGAACTTGATCAATCCAGACATGTCTTGGATACGGAATCCAGAACTGAATTCTTTAAACAAAATGGCCGCCAGTCGGCCATTTCGAACTTGATCCCAAAAAAAAAAGACGTGCATCAAGGTCCTATTATGTTTAATGTATGTACCAAATTTGAACAAAATCCGTCCATGCATAACTGAGATCCAGGTCCGGAATGGTGAAAAAATGCGATTTTGATGCATTTTCGGCCTTAAAATGGCCGCTATTCGGCCATCGTTAATCGGATCATGAAAAAAATGCATGTGCATATGTCCCATATAATGTGTGATGTATGAGTGAAGTTTGAACTTAATCGGTCCATGCATGTTCGAGATACAGGTGATCACGGACGGACGGACGGACAGGGCAAAACACAAGTCCCCGTTTTCGGACTACATGTACGTCCGAACGGGGACTAACAAACCATGCATGGCACAGTCCTCGTTAGTTATCAAATTTAAGATATATAGTTTTGTTTATAGTAATATTGTTGGAACATAAACATGTCAGAGATATGGATCCAGAAGATGATGCTTGGTTATGACATTAAAATGATTGACATCTTGTATCTGATCGTCAAATAAGTACTTGTCCATATTGAGAAATATTGCTCTGGAACAGCATTAATTAAAACAAAATGGCCAATGGTCGGCCATTGTGAATACATTCATATATTTATACTATGATGTATAACGTATATATAAAATTTGAACATAATCAGTCAAAGCATGTCAGAGATATGGCTCTAGAAGTGCATTCATTAAAACAAAATGGCCGCCAGTCAGCTATTTTGAATCCGATCTGAAAAATAAAATGACATGCATCAGGAACCCATAATGTCTAATCCATAAATGTTTGATTTTGATGATTTTTAGCACAAAAATGGCCACCTTCTGCCATCTTAAATCAGATCGTGAAACAAATTGATGTGCATATGTATAATATTATGCATGATGTAAGTGTGAAGTTTGAATACGATTGGTCCAGGCACGCCTAAGATACAGGCTCAGACGCATGCATGGACGCACAAATGTCAAACCATAAGTCTAATAACAGTTGCTTCATTTCTTTGAGTTTACATGGTTGTTTTCATACAAGATTTTTGGGGTGTTAACAGTTACCAATTTTGTTCTATAATTGTATTCTTTGACCAAAGTAAGTCATACTTTAATGACCCAGTACACAATGAATGCACAATTTTAGTTTACTGCACTTCTACATGCATTAGAGATGCATTAGTGATACAGCAAATACAATAATCGCATCTAAAACAACTAGTACAGACTGCAAAGCCATCATCACTACAACCAAATCCCTAGACACCATCATTTCTTGATCGCTTCTCCAATTTTACAATTTCGATTTGTTCTCAGTATCTCCACTAGAATCGTAATTGTTTGAGGTTTGAATTGCTTGATCTCACGTACAATGTTCATTACGGGTATCTCAAAGTGTCTTGAGAGCTGCTTCATAGACTTGCATGGCAAATACAATTCATCCCTTTCTCAATTCTATTGTTAAAAGAAAAATCGTGATTTGGATGTTTTGGATAGCTTGAGAGGCAGGATTTTTTCTTTGAAAAGTGCAAAAACATAGCTCACTTTTGTAAACACAACACTGCAGCTGTGGTTTTAATTAAAACTCATTATTGCTAGGGGTAAGGCTAAATGAAGAATCAAGAATCAACGAATCAAGATTCAAGAATCAATGAATCAGCGATTTACGAATTGTGCAATGACTATTTTTAATTGCTGTTTTATTTGCAAGAAATAGCGTTTGTTGTTTTTCAAAAATTAAGAATAAGGATATCCAAGAAATGTCGTTCATGCATGCTAGCCTCAGCTCTCACACTTAATGATTTACGTTGGTTTAAATCGAATCTAAAACTGTCAATCACGGAATGCTCAGAGCAGAAGGCAAGACGTGACGTGACGCCCACAACCAGCTGGCATCGGTGTCGCTGGGTGTATATGATAGAGGGAAGTTGTGCAACCAAATTTGCCGATAAAAAAATAACTGAGGCTAAAACTCACGGTTTTTCAAAAGTTTTGTAATAAAGACATTCTCTACCAATAATCCGCCCAAAACAGGAACATTTCTACTAATTCTTGTGTTTTTTTCGACGATTTTGAAAAACCTGCCATTAGTCAGCGAAAGCAGAACATTCCGGACGGGCGAAACAGAAGAGCCAAATACAACGCTTGATCAAGCAAAATGTTCAATATGTTCATGAAAAATGTGGGTTATTTCTGTATTTTAACTATTTATAAAGATTTTTCAAAACATTACATAAAAATTCTATAATATTTAAAATAATGATGAGGTGGTAAATAATGTCCGCGAACGAGAAGTCTGGTACGCGGTGTGTCTGAAAATGGAATGTGCTGTGTCATACACATGTCTCAATTTTCCGGGCAGAGTTCTACAGCCAAAACAAGGTCAGCTTGGACGCTCAGTTGCGAGACATAACAAAAAAACTCAGCCCAGTAAAAATACAAAATAAACGCAATCAGAGCGCCGACCACGCGCATTGGAAATAAATAGAACTCATTGTGACACAGTCTTACCAGCATCTTTCACTCACGCAATATAATTATGCTATTTCCCAACGCACTTATATTTAATACATTGACGAAAAACATCACAAGAAAAATGTTAATCAGGCTTGCAAATACTAGTAACTCAACTCGAATGCAATATTCATCACTGTAAAAGTGGATAAATTCGAACCAGCCAGCTCATGACCGGAGACGTCCGGTCGTCTTCATTGATAACTCGCCAATTCACCACAATCGTGGTGGTAAACTGTTTAGCTGATTTTTCAAAAGATGGATATTCAATTCATATTCATCCAAACTTATTTGAATATTCTTTTGGAAATTTGAGACATTGTTTAAAAAATCTTGTACAGGGATATGTCTGATTTCAACTAGTAATACGCAATTACCCGGGCAGTACTAGACATTATTGCTGATACTAATAATCATGTTTTGTATTGGTAAGTTGGATACTTGAACGTGTAGTTCCCAGGCGTGTAGTAGACAAGCATAATCGTACTGTCACACGCTTTTCGTCTTAGCCTTGTCTTTTTGTCTTAACCGTCGCAGTCCGCTTCATTGAATGTTTAGTTTGATAATTGATAAACATACATTCAGTGTGAGACTGTTGCTTTCAAGTTGTGTTAATACAAAGATGATTTCAACTTGTCCCTTCCGTTGCCAACGTTTTCAATATATGGAATAGCATGTGTGTGCATTTGCGTGAGTGAAAGATGCAGGTGCGTTCTATTTATTTTCAACGCGCGTGGTCGGCGCCTTTGATTTTGTTCTTTCATTCGCGAAATCTATCGCTGGCACAGTTTATTTTGGCTTTGTTTTAGCTGTATTTCTTCGAATATATCTGCCACCACGCGATCTTATGCAATTCATTGGTGGCGGCGCTGATAAATATTGTTTACAACTCTCATGTACACGCTTACCGCTTTCTCAATATCCACGTTGCTAAGATGCGCACCACTGTACCACGTATTTCTTTGGACTCTGTGCGCGCTTCTGGGGAACACGGAACGTCGAGCGAAAAGCCGGTGAAAATTTGAGAAAACAACAGGAACTCAACTTTGAAGTAATTCTGAACAATCAAATGCGTTATACATGCAGGGGGTAATCTTGTTACACTGTTCAGGGGAGTCGCAATAAGCATCCCGAAGTACCGTTTTCTGAGAGTTTTTGTGATGGTTGCAATGCGGTGAAAATGCCCGGATGTTCGCCCCGAGAATATCCAGTACGTGTCAAATCGGTGAAGAAATTAAATATAGATATAATGGCGCAGTATCTAGTTTGTGTGTATATTTACTACGAATATTATTTCTTGAATCTTCCAAAGCAGAATGTATCACTGATCCAACACTTTGGTCTACTGCCC